GTGAATGTACATACACAGCTTCTTTAATGACATATGTTCCTCAGCAATGGCAATTATTGCGACAATTTCAATAAACTTTGACACGTTCTCATATATTCTTCAGTGTATTTGATTGCTACACTATCATAGATATGAAAACCTGAATGCCCAACGCTACCGAGATGAAATGCCTGCGAGGCATATTATCCCACAAAATAATGCCAATATTATTTTTTTTCATCATGATAATGCCATAAGCCATACAGCAAGGGACACTGTGAATTTCCTAAGAGCGAAAAAAATTGCATTTATTATGACTGGCCTCCCAGAAACCCTGATCTTAATCCCATTGAACACCTTTTGGATACTTTGGACCAGAGTTTTATACGTCGCCCTATTTCACCGTAAAACGTCACTCAGCTAAGCCAAGCCTTAATCTAGGAATTGAAAACATTCCATATGCCAAAATCAATACGCTGATCCGTTCAATGCACCAACGATGCCAGACAGTCCTTTATGCTGAAGATGAACTACTAGTTCACTACTTTTGAATAAACTCTCAGCAATATTTTTTTTCACAAAAAAACAACAACAAAAAACGCAATGAAACCATCACTACTACAGTACGCTCACCGCGGGTTTTGCTTTTTCCGCGATACCACCGCGGACGATTTTTTTTATCGCGGACAAACGCGGGGGTTCGTTCGCGATGAAAGCCTAACATCCCCCGCGATCCCCGGTGTTCAGTTGTTTCCACCGCGGACAAAATTTTGACGACCGTTCTTCATTCGTCGATATATTCAGTCACCCGTTTCCCGCTGGGGAACGCCATGGTCAGTTGGTCAGTATAAATTAACCTCAAAAAGTAATAGACGTTTTATTATTTTTTAACGTCATCTTTTTTACACAATGACTTGAAAATTGACCACAATCGTCTCCTTAAACGTTATTATACGTTAATTTTTTTGAACGGAATTTGAAATAAAAATAATTACAGCTGTACCTGTTTTTGTTGTTGTTTTTTAATATTTTTATTATAAACGTCCACAAAACTATTCGTCCACATACCAATATTTTTACAACTGAAATCGTCATTTATCACTGTCATCTTTACTTTTTCATTCCTTGTGGTTCTCAAAGTATTATTGCTGTTAAACTATATGGGAGCCATAAATATGATACTTAGTAAAAAGAAGGACATTTGTGCTGATTTCTCAATGATGACTGACGCTACAGTACATGTCCTGTAAGAGGTCGATGAGTGTGAATACAAGACAAGACATAAATAAAATACATGTACATATACAGTCAACTATCGTTATCTCGACATCGCTTTTCTCGATATTTCGTTATCTCGATGAAATTTTGAAAGTCCCGATTTTCTTCCTTCTTTATCTATATTGGAAATATTTGTTTATCTCGATATTTTTATTTCGATATTTTCAGTATCTCGATGTAAAATTTCAGCCCCAACAGTTATTTTCACACTTTTATCCTTTGTTTATCTCGACTAACAGTTTTCTTTCGTCTGTTCCCTTCAGACGTGTGAAAATACAAACTAGACGATAATTGCTCAATAGCGCGTGTCATAATGATGATTATGTTTGTAACAAGTTTAGCTGTTTTTATAAAAGTTAATTTATTTAGCGTGTTGATTGACTTATGTCCAAAATGAGTGAATTTTACGTTCTTTATAAATATTCGAACACTGTATCAATTCATTATGACTTTAAATGTAAATGAAATAGTGAAAGTATAGAAACGCTGTCGTTGCAATATTGTTTCACAACATCACCACCAAATCAATCAGCGGCCGAACAATCTCGAGAAAGACCTGATAAATAACCCGGGAGGATATCCGGATCAACCACTCTGAAAACAATGTTTTCACTATATTGGTGTATTACTAAGTAAACCTCACTATGTGTTTTTATCACAGACACCTTTATTTCCGCTGGTAAACTTCCGTTTATGATACTTTGTTAAATATTGCCTAGGCCTATGAAAACAAGACATGGGGATATCATAGTTTATTTGGCATAAGGTATGCACATGTGTTTTGTAAAAATCATTTTCTGCCTTATTCAAACCCTAATATGTTTATCTCGACATTTCGTTATCTCGATATTTTTGGACGGTCCCGATGACTTCGAGATAACGAGAGTCGACTGTATTAGAAATAAAAGAAAAATAGATTTAAACCATCTAAATACGTTCAATTGTATGTACTTAAAACTACATGTTGTCTACAAATACTATTATTCCTATGAACAATAATATCTTAAGATAAAAAAAAGAAATATTTTTAACTTGAAAATCGGTCGATCGAAGTTCTTAAAAAATAACTGCCATGTGCTTGTTTGCCTTATATACATGTATGTACATGCATACTGTTCATAATAAAATAACAAAAAGTATAACGTCAAGTTTAACAAAATTCTGCAAAAAAAAATCTATAAAAAAATAAAAAAGAACAAACAAACAAACTACTAAAACAAAAATGAAAATAAACTTCAACAGTTGATACAAACTTCAAAACATATACATTACACTCACACCTGTAATTAGATAAATCAAGAATATCATTTAATGTATATTTTGGTGAAATAAATGCTTTCTTTTAAAGTTCCAAATAAAATATAAGACTTTATGATCAACATGCAAATAAACAGAAACCGTAAAACGCATCTGACAATTGAAAGAGACGTCCTGGAATATTGCCTGAATAAATTGTTGAGGGTTACGTTTTCAAAGTTTTTAAATAAGAAACAAAAGCTGGCATATAAATTGTTGTAGTATGTTTTTCATAAATGTCATATGCCGAATTTTTCATTATTTGACTTCAAGTTTCTCACTACCATGAAGTTGCGACGACAATGATTTATCTTGATGTCGAATACATATTATACATTACCCAACACAATAACAAGAAGAAGAACAAGAAATACACTGCATTTGTACATGTACTTTAATTACAACAAAACAGAAAACAAACAAACAAATTTTACATATAGTTATATGTACAGTACATGTTACAGTACGTACGTATACTGATGTTTAAATACAGTAATTAATTTTTAAAATTTAAGGTTTCCACCGCGTTGACCGGTGTTTGACCGCCGCGTTCTTCCGCAATCTACCGCTGCGTTCCGCGGGGGAAACGGTTTCAGCCGCCGATTTATGTCCGCGGTGGTGAAAATTTTTTGTCCGCGGGGTCACAATATCTGAGCAAATTTTCGTCCGCGGTAAACCTCATCCGCGGGGTCACGCGGGTTTTGCAAAAGCCGCGCTGAGCGTACTGTACATCCACCATCATTATCATCATTACCACCACATCCACCATCATCATCATTATCATCATTATCATTATTATCATCATCATCACACTACCATCACCACCACATCCACAATTACCATCATCACCACCACTTCAATAACCATTATCACCACATCCACCATCATCATCATTATTATCATCATCATCATTATCATCATCATCATCACAACCATCACCACCACATCCACCATCATCATCATCATTATCATCATCATCACCACTGCCACAACCATCATCACAGCGACCACCACCACACCCTCCATCATCATCATCATCATCATCACCACACCCATTATCATTTTCATCACCACTTCCACAACCATGACCACAACGACCACCACCACATCCACCATCATTATCATCATCATCATTATCATCATCATCATAATCATCATCATCATTATAATCATCATCATTATCATCATTATCAACATCACCATTACGACCATCACCACCACGACAACCATCATCATCATCATCATCATCATCACCGCCACAGTTTTACACAACTATTAAAATGGGAATTTAAGTTCAGCTTTAATTAATTACATACTATTTTTATATGAAAACTAGGTGGGAGACTCTATGATGGATAGTTCGTAAAGCCCTTTGGGACTGAATTGTCTTAATGTTCGTCTTCTGCCTTGCTACGTCGGGCCCTTGTAGGTGATTTTCTTGTTGCTCTGTCTTCCTTTAGGACATTGAGTACTTTTGTTATGGTCATTAGGTTACTTTTATATGTTTCTACATGATCATTTTAGTGTTTTACTTATTTAACCTTTTGTAACCATGACAACTGTTAGAATTGCGCTTGGCGGGGATTCATTTTATTTACACTGTCTCGTTTATAGGAACATGGTGGGGCTAAGAGTGAGGTTTGGTGCACCATTAACCGGTTTAAACTCCCCAGCAGTCATTATTATGCTGCTGACCGTTCCAAGGCGGCGCCCCTCTGTGTTCCTCAGATGTATGTCTATGTTGTTTCATACTGTTTTGGTGACACTTTTGCTTGTGTCCCTTGTTGTTTTCTCGTCTACGGTAAGTATCTTCCCCATTGCCTCTAGTTTTTATTTCTTTGATTAACACCCCCCTTCCCCCAGTCTCCTGTCCCCTTCCCCTTTGTGGGCCTATTTTTCTTTTCTTTGAATTCCTAATCAGTTAAAAATTATTTATCATTTAATGATTAACCTGTCCGTGCTCTGTCTTTGCCCTGTCCTGTTTTTGTTTGGAGTCTGCCTGGGCTCCTTGCCACTGGTTCTTGTGGCTGGGTCGTATGGGGGTTGCGTTCATTGAGCGCCGCCTTTCCTTGTTGATCTTGTTTATCATATTTTATAAAGATTTTAGGTTTAAATTTACCACCTCAGCTTGAACACTTCCGCAAACACGAGCTTAAGGGCATGTTAAGTATGTAAATTATTTAGCTTGATGGTATAAAAGTGAATAAATGATAAATATACATGTGTAAATATTCATATGTATTCAATTTATTGAACTAGTTAAAAACAATTTTTAACGCAAGCCTAAAACTGTTCTATAAATTAAGCATTAAATCTATGTAATGGTGTGCTACCCTGTCCACCCCCTACCCCCCCCCCCCCCGCCCGGAAAAAAAATAAAATAATAGAAAGAAGAAATACTTTGCTTTTCATTGTTTATTTATTAAATAATCTCTTCTGATGATAAGTTGAAAATGCACGAAATATTTCTTGTTGAAAACTAAACCAGTTAGGCGATACATAACCTATTTATATTTTACAACTTTTGTAAAGAAACACAGAAACGAAGAAAAAGAGTGAATCATATTGTAAAATAACGTGTAACGTGTCTTCAAACATATCAACTGAACAGAGATATACCAATCCCGTAGAAACGTCTTTTCAGGCTTTACGTTGGACACTCTGTAATAATAATAATAATAATAATAATAATAATAATAATAATAATAAATAATAATAATAATGATAATAAATAATATAATAATTATAATGATGATGATGTTTATGATGATGATGATGATAATAATAATGGCAATGATGATGATGATGATGATGATAATGGCAATGATTATGATGATGATGATGATGGTGATGATAATGATGATGATAATGATAATAATAAGTATATAGATGATGATATTGATGATGGTGATGATGATGTTGATGATAATGGCAATGATGATGATGATGATGATGAATAGTAGTAACAATTATAATGAAAAATGAATAATAATAATAATAATAATGATAATAATAGTAATGATAATAATAAGAAGAACAACAACAACAACAAGATCGTAAAATCTGTTTTGTGAAAATGGAATAAATATTCTTATTTTATTCCGTGCTTTTAGTTATATCTTTGTTCTTTTTCGTTTTTAAGTATTTTTCATTAAGATATGATTGTATCAACATATGCAATGCCAGTTTCTGGTTTATGATATGACGAGGCTGCTATGTACATGTTACATATGTACACTTGGCGGTCTATCCACCTTACCGGTTGTCCTGAATAGCTAACCAGTTATTACCAGTTACCGGCTACATATCCTACATGATTTCCGAGACCAATATGATTAGTTGTCACGAAGAAATTACGCCTCGCCCGAAGACAGAACCAGCGTTCCTTGGATTCGTTATCCAATATTCTCTCTATCGTGTTAAGTGGACACATTATCAGATTCGGTATCACAAACAAAACATTGTTATTATAAAAATACACACACAAATAAGCACGCTTTATTTTATCTTTCTTTCAATGAATATTGTATCTTATACAACGGTACCTTTTAGTCTTTTGAGGTTAAAGTGTTTACAACTCAATCAAAGAATCGTGGGTTCGAACCTTGCTTGGGTCAAGATCATGTTACCCTATTTATGTGTAACACCATTAATCATTAGTGTAATCTCTTTTCTACCTTCCAGCTATACACTTACCAATTCCTACAAAAACATATCTCATTTCTGGGTCTGAAAAGTCAATGTTGTAGATGTTTTTCAGATCGGCGGAGATGAGGTCCCACGGTACACCCGTCAGATCAACATCGTCACCGTCATCTGTGCCTGTTATTAAAACATTTTCTTTCGTTAATACAAACTACGTGTTTACACTATGCTCATGCAAACTTTTAGGGAAGCGGTGGCCTAGAAGTTTATGTGTTTGCCTCTCAACCCAGGGATCATGTGTTCGAACCCTACTCGGGTCATGACCATGATTCTTCATATCACACCAGTACTGGTTGGTTCCAGGAAGCGGACTCGAAAGTGATTAATATAAGTTGCAAGAACTTGTTTCACAATCGAGCTAAAATAAATATGTTTTAACTAACTAAACAGATTGTGAAGATTTCCGACCTTGTCTCAACACATTTGTAACTATAAGCAGAATGACAATACCCGAAATAAAAAAATGTAAATTAGTACATTCTTCTTGAAGTTCGATTGTTTGAAAATATTTGGCTCATCTGGAGGCATAACATGAATATATATATTTCTTTCGTGTTGTTTGACGTAATAGATCTATAATCAAGTAATTTTAACTTGATTTTGACGTCATCATTTTTATTACTATAGCAACGAGCTATTTATAGCTTATTTTACCGCTGTTGGCTGAATTAGTCTTAAAAATATCTTATGGCAAACATATTATATATATTACCACAAACTTACCATGGCCAGATTCAGAGCTGGAAGAACTGGAACTGTCACTTCTATCTATAATTAAAACATGATCATACAACAGAACAATTTATTATAATATAACTAGATATCAAAGTTCATTGACAACATTTTTCTAATCTTTAGGAACATTGATAGTTCAAAAGCTTAAAATATTTATAAGTTTCCATTGTTTAGATGTTTTTTTGTTGTTTTTTGAGTATCTGTTATTTTGATGGTTCAAAATAATGGTCATCACCATATTACATAATTATACAAATACAACATATAAGACATAAATGACACATTACATAGACATATACAATTAATGAAATGTGAGAGCGTTAAATAAGATAAGAATTACTTTAAAAAAGTATTTGAATAAATAACGGTCAAGAATTTGTTTATCTTAACCTAAAATTATCAAACGTAGCGCCTTTCATTCAATTAAGTTCAAATATGATTATCTAACAAAACATAGCTAAAAGTATTTCAGGATAATAACAAAATATGTCAATGGCCCAAATGCAATAATTGCACACGTTAAAGGAGCTCTACGGAGGTCAAAAGGCTTAAAAATTTAAAACATTATTTTTACATAGATCAAGCCAATCAGTACAAATAGAAAAATATTCAAAGTCTGATAAAGAAATATACCCGGAATTAAATTGAAAATCGCTTTTATTGTAATTTATAGCCCAACTGGGCGAAAAGCGTTGCAACGCAGTGCAGTTTTGGGTAATTTTGCACATAAAAAAATGATGATTCTGGTAAAAGTGGGTGTGGGAATGATCTGAAAATTTACACACTAGTTGTTGGTCTTGACCTACATCAAATGATACTTAAATATTGGAAAAATATTTCTAGTCCTGTCATGTCAAAAAACCTCAGTGGAGTCCCTTTAATTTTGTTTCGTTACATTTAAAAGATATTTTAACATCAACCCGTGCTTGCTACTGTCTCCACGGGTACTTATTTTTGAAAAAATGAATTCCAATATTTTACGTTCAAAGTAAAGTCAAGAAACAGAGGCTTTTTGTTGCGTCCAGAAATGTTCACGAATTGATAATAACATGCACTCACCGACCAGTCGACTTCCGCTCACGTTAACGTCAATGAAACGACCTCCCGCGCATTCTTCGCCTTGTTTGTTGACGCATATGTCCCTCAAATAGTACTGATTAATATCTTGACTGTGTATCGTCTCGACTGTTGAATCATTTACTAAGGAAGAGAAAATTCAGTTTACGTCAGAACTTCCAAGTGTGAAGAGACAATTCTAAATTTAACATGATTTTGTTACTTTTTAAGCCTTTTTGAGTTACTGGTAGGGTTTTCAGTGACACTGATGCAATACTAATGGAGAAGACTATGTTCGGCTCTCCGTGCACGCTCAAATCTAAGCACAACCACTGATGGTTTATAGGACTTCACGGTAGTTTCCCTAAATACGAAAATTTAAATCGCAGTAGATAGTCAAGTCCACTGCTATGAGTGACACATGACAGGAGTTCCGCTACCAAATTCATTAGAATAGTTTTATTCATACTATAGATAATGCAAATTGACATAGTCACTCACTATGATAGTGCCCTAATCAAAACCAACGTCCAGAGCTCAATCGGTTAGAGAGCGAGATTTGTAATACGGACATTGTGGGTTCGATTCCCAGACTGGCCAACTACTAGTAATCTAATCAGTCTTTCGGATGAGACTTTTAAATGAGGTCCCGTATATGAGTGCTTAAACACTTGTCACGCTTAAGAACCAGGAGGAGATTCTGGAATCGGGGCATCTGTCTGTATCTGTTACTTATATCATCCCCCCCCCCCCCAAAAAAAAATAATTCTAAAACGACTAATACTCTTCTGGAAGGACTCGCCCATATGGGCAACCGGTGGCGAGTATGAATAATCTCAAATACACACACAGTTCAGTCCATTGCTATGAGTGGCAAATGACAGGACGTCCGCTACCTTATTCATTCAAATGGTTTAATCCATACTTAATACCCATTGGTATTGACATAACCACCCGCTATGATAGCGCCTAATCCAAACCAAAGTACGCACGGCAAACTTTTGACCCATTTATCCATTATTCTAGAATGCATCTAGGGTACGGGCCGGCGGTAAAATCGACAGTTACATTACCTCCTTGTATTTTAAGTACTCCACATTCGTCCTCTTCTAATCTTACCGATATAGTTAAATCAACACAGCCGTTTCTTCCAAAGTCACTGCAAAAGATCGGACAAAATTTTCGTTAATCTAGTTAATAAAATTTAGGTTGAGCAATGCAGAGGTTTACAAATGACTACAAGTGACAAGAAGTTGGCACTGTCATCGAACATCAATATTCAGTTCATAGTGAATATCGAGCTATGTAGGAGCACATTTGAACTTCGAGCTAGCTCGAAGATCGAAATTCAAAGTAAATAAAAGCTGAATTTCGAGCTGGAGGTGAATTTCGGAGATCGAAATTCAATATTTGAAAAAGTGAATTTCGAGCAAGAGTTAAATTTCGAGCCAGCTCGTAGATCGATATTCAAAATTCAATAGCCGAATTTCGAGTTGGAGTTGAATTTCGAGCCAGCTGGAAGATCGAAATTCAAAAATTGAAAACCCCGAATTTCGAGCCAGATTTTAATTTCGAGCCAGCTCGAAGATCAAAATTTCCAATAGCCGAACTTCGAGTTGGGGTTGAATTTCAAGCCAGCTCGAAGATCGAAATTTTAGACTTTCAAAAGTCGAATTTTGAGCTGAAGATGGATTTCGTGCCAGCTCAAGGATCGAAATTCAAAATTTTCAAAGCCGAATTTCGATCTGGAGATGAATTTCGAGCCACCTCGATAATGGAAATTCAATATCTAAAAAAGACGAATTTCGAGCAAGAGTTGAATTTCGAGCCTGCTTAAAGATCGAATTTTTTGATTTTCAAAAGTCGAATTTCGAGCTGGAGTTCAATTTTGAGCCAGCTCAAAGATCGAAATTAAAAAATTGAGCTGGCCCAAATTTAAAGCAAGAGTTTTATTTCGAGCCAGCTTAAAGATCAAAATTTTCAATAGCCGAACTTCGAGTTGGAGTTGAATTTCAATCAAGCTTGAAGATCAAAATTCTAGTTTTACAAAAGTCGAATTTTTAGCTGGAGTTGAATTTAGAGCTAGCTCAAAGATCGAAATTCAAAATTTTCAAAGCCGAATTTCGATTTGAAGATGAATTTCGAGCCACCTCGAAGATCGAAATTCAATATTTTAAAAGCCGAATTTTGAGCAAGAGTTGAATTTTAAGCCTGCTCGAAGATCAAAATTCAAAATTTTATAAAAGTCAAATTTCAAGCTACAGTTGAATTTTGGGCCAGCCCGAAGATCGAAATTCAAAACTTCTATAGCCGAATTTCGAGTTTGATTTGAATTACGAGCCAGCTCGAAGATCGAAATTCTAAACTTTCAAAAGTGTCATTTCGAGCTTGAGTTGAATTTTTGAACATTTAAAAATTTGAAAAAGCCGAATTTCGAGTTGGAGTTGAATTTTGAGCAAGCTCACAGATCGAAATTCTAAAATTTCAAAAGTCTAATTTTGAGCTTTAGTTGAATTTCGAGCCAGCTCGAAGATCGAAATTCAAAAATTGAAAAACCCGAATTTCGAGCCAGAGTTGAAATTCGAGCCAGCTCAAAGATCAAAATTCAAAATTTTCAATAGCCGAACTTCGAATTGGAGTTGAACTTCAAGCCATCTCGAAGATCGAAATTCTAAATTTTCAAAAGTCGAATTTCGAGCTGGAGTTGAATTTCGAGTCAGCTCAAAGATTGAATTTCAAGTTGAAATTCGGCTTGTGAAAATTATGAATTTCGATCTTCGAGCTGGCTCGAAATCAACACCAGTTCGAAATGCGGGATTTTCAAATTCTGAATTCAGATCTTCGAGCTGGCCAGATCAAAATTCGGTTTTTCGTTATTCGAGCTGGCTCGAAATTTAACTCTAGCTCGAAATTCGGGATTTTCAAATTCTGAATTTCGATCTTCGAACTGGCTCGAAATTCAACTCCTGCGCGAAATACGGTTTTGGAAATTTTAATTTCGAGCTGGCTGGAAATCAAATCCAGTTCGAAATTCACGTTTTGAAAATTTTGAATTTCGATCTTCGAACTTGCTCGAAATTCAACACCGGCTCAAAATTCGGCCTGTACAAAGTTTGAATTTTCCGTGTACATTTATATTGCCTTTTTATTGTTCAAAGTGTTAATTAAGTTCAATATTCGGTTTATATCAATTATTACCCGAACAAATACTTCATTGAGACACTGTTTCTATAATTATTTTTTTAATGCTATTTATGTATCAATACACAATCTTAAGTCACCCGGTACATTTGAATTAACAGTAAGAATAACTGCAATTGGCCATTACAAACGTAGTAAAGGACAATTATAGTCCGTTCTTCCACCCTCAATGGGATTTTATTACCCTCACTTTTATGTGAATTTGAAGGTACATTATTAGTAATGCAAGTGTACCAGTTTGAACAGTTACTGTTACAAAGGAACATGTACCGTACAAGTCTGGTAACGTCTTACATTTCCAAGAAAACAAAATGGCCGCCGTTGTTTTACGTAAGGTCGTTCCTGGAGGTACTATGATCGCTTGAGAATTTAGTTCTTTAATTATTCTCTTTTAGACCTCACTTGCCCCGATGATCATATCAAGAGAAAGCGTTTAGCAAATCAATAAATAGGTTTTTCCTTTTTTCTTTTTTATTTTGTGACTTTTATTTGATTTGTGACTTTTTTCCGGCACTTATTTTTTTATATATATATCTTATACATTTTTACTTACAAACACTGCTCCCTTTGAACAAAGTCTCCATTTGCATCAGGCGATTCATATCTAAGTCGACATTTGCCATAATTCTCGGTGCCAATCTCTTTGCTGTATATGTTAAACCATACAGGTTCTGAGGAAAGCTATAAAAATAATTTAACTGCAAAATATATTATAGAGTATTATAAGAATTATACTATACAAAGTAGTCGATATCTGAAGCGGATTAAACTAGGATTAAATTAGGATTAAATTAGGATTAAACACGGAGTTTCTTATCTCTTAACGATATACTATCCTCATCCTTGAGTTAAATATCTTCATCACTGAAATTAATTGAGATATATTAAATCCTTACTGAATATGTTAAGTATTGCTGCTCTTTTCTTAAAGGGACTCCACTGAGGTTTTCTTACAAGACAGGACTGAAAATATTTTTTCGAGATTAATGTTCCATTTAATGTAGGTCTAGACCAATAACTTGTGTGCACAATTTGAGATCATTCGCTCACTTCGTTTTTTCCAGAATAATTATGCTAATGGGGAAATATGACCAAAATTTGAAAAACGTTGCAACGCTTTTCACCAATTCGGCTAAGAATAGCACATCAATACGACATTCAATTAATTTCTGAGTATATTTCTTTCTGTTTTAAGTGAATCCCGCTGATCTATGTAACAAATTCGTTTTTTTTTTAAATTTTTTTTTTATTTATTATTATTATTTTTTTTTTTTTGGGTGGGGGGGGGGGTGGATGTCAGTGCAGTTCCTTTAAAAATAAAACACCTGCCAGTTGTTTTTTAATGACACTATATATTTATATTGTGATCACTTATAGTGTATGTAACATAATATAACGTAACTTTGTGTGAAGACAAAAACAGGTTTATTTAATATTTTTAAAGAGACTTGTAGCTATTATGTCGGACTATTTACTAATATTAAAATTTGAGCAAAGTATATCTTTAAAACTGCTAAATTTGTGTAATGGGTTTTTCCTGCTTCGAGTTTTGAACAGTTCACCCGGTACTTGAGGGATTTCAATATCATTAAGTTGCCTACTTGCCATAACAACTACTTGCCTTTTAAACGATTTTCATACTCAATCACACTCCTAAATACAGTGGGCAGCTTTAAAATGATGAACCTCACTTCATTGTTGATATATTTTATAGTCCTTCTGGACCATTGATTCCAGATAGATTAAATAAAGCTTAAGCCGGTGCTAGGGGGCGTGTGCCTGATCATTTAAGATAATGTGACAGTGTAACACCAAACCGAGTTTGCAATTAGATAATAGTATGTGCATTGTTGTTTTAATTGCTTACGAAGGATCTTTCAGTGGTCATATTTTATCCATAGTAAAAGAATATCACTTTGTCAATCTGGCCATCCATTAAATATGAAAAACAAGATCAACAAGGAAGGGTGACATTCAATAGACGCATCCCATAGAGTCACGTCACGTTCTAGTCTGCGAACAACGCTATTTTGTTAATTTAACAATCAAATCGCTCAGACATACAAAGGACAGTTCCATATTCAAAACAGAAAGACAACTTCAACCTGATAGTCGTACAAAGAAATTCTATAGGCTATTGCCGATAAAAGAAATCTGATATTCCCTATGTGAAGAATAAATGACTTACTGCGTTCACGAAGTCATGTCTGTTGACTATACTGGACTTGTAGTCAAACAAAGGGCAATCCGCCTTCGTCAAAGTTTTCGCACAGCCAGGATTTGGATTCTGATTATCAAAATATCCACCTTGGTAATATCCCCCTTGTTGGAAATTAGCAAAGCCATGTCTTGGGAAATACTGGTTCCGATTGTTACTGAAGGGATTCCGATTGTTATTGAAGGGACGTAAGGCAGCAGATACAAATGTACAGCACGTGAATATCATGAACACGCGGGCCATTCTGTAATAGAGGATATTGAATGAGTGTAAATTCAATACTGATTTTATTGAATGAGTTGAACAAAATTATATTATGCGCGTAATATTTATTTATTTAATCCGTTCAATAATTTTAGTAATGAAGCTACACGATATACTTTTATCACATGCCAAAAACAAGAGCTGTTTACAGTTAAAAGGGACATTATTCATTAGTCTGATATATATTTGCGCGTCTTTACGCTATGTTTGTATAACGCAAATAACGTCACGTCAAAATATATGCACGCCCGAGCAATACCGTTCTTACGGAATCGCAAAAGCGGTTGGTATATTTGATAAATGTTATTATCATAGTTTCTATTTTAAGTCATTGACTTCATTAATAGATGGATGTGGAGTTTCAAGCATGATGTGTTGTAATTGAATTGAATATAAAGTAAAAGTACCAGCGCTATAAATTGAATATTCCTACGCTTTTGTTTGTAGAAAATTAGGCCAAGCAAAAATGTAGCAAAATGGTTTATTCTTTTAATTTTTTTAGCATAGCCATGTGCATACAATTGCTTTTGTAAAAAATTAAGTAGTTAAATCTTCTACCAGAAAAAGTTCAATTATTTATCAACATGAATGTGTATAAAGCAACATATTCGCTGTTTTAAGATTGAAAAATTATTAAATAATTATTTATATTGTGATTAAAACGATTTTTCAGTATATTTTAAAGAAAGCGACGGTGGCACCCGTGTGATCATCGCCAAACCTACTAAAAATAGAAGCGGACTATTTTGTTCCAGAACATTTTATTCGGTTTTTAAACTTTTATAAAGTAAGTTTATTCCATCCGATACAGCTTCATACCCTTTTATTAGCTTACAGAAAATCAAAGAAAAACTTAATTCAAAATAACTGTATTAACAGAACACCTATTACATATGCTTGAGTAAACAAACAAAGCAGTAAACCATTATTTCAAGCTTAAACCAGTACTAATTCAGAATTAACAAAACATTTTAATCAATGTTCTACACTGTAAAATATATAGATGAGTCTAAAAAAAATTGGATGTGAATTAAAATTAAAATTAATAATACTAATAATAATAATAATAATACTAATAATAATAATGATAATAATTAAACTATCTCACGTCTCTACAGCAGACATCTTTCCTCCTTGGTGTATTTCTGCAAAGTGTATGAAAGTGGGATTTGACTTTTTTCTTTTCTATATTTTTTTTAAAAAGCTTAGTGTGTCATTTTCATTTCTTTGGGCTATATTAACACGTTACATATCCATGCCATTCCTTTTAATGTAAATTATACAAAAAACACCAAAGAATGTTAAATTATTGGGGGCACAAATCATTTTAATTATGTTAAATGACTTCCGATAGTTATAAATTATTATGATAAATGACTTCCGATACTAAAAATAAATGAAATCAGTGTGATTCTGTATTGTAAAAATATGTAGCGTAAGTATTCCCCTTTTATGATGTGCATATATGGTGTGATAATGCGCTTGCTTTTCACCAGTACATGACTATTTGTGCATATAAAGTACCGGTATTAATAAATAATCAACGGAATTTACAAACCCGATCACTTTCGTGGCCCTCCATGCCTGTCGAAGTTTTACGCGGGGTTGAGTATCATTCATCTCCAAAGTGGTGAATAATAAGTCTTAACTCTTAAGTACCAACTGTTAAGTCATAATGTCCCCCAGCGCTTCCGTAGTTTGAAGAATCATAAACGTTTAAAAGTTTATAACAAAAATCAAAACATCAATGTCTGTTACTGTGTAACACATGAAAAGACATTTTCCCATTAAAGCAATTTAGAACAGGTAATGTAACTTACATGTAATTAAACAATACTGTTAGAAAATAAGTTTCCCTGCTACACACTAAGAATATGTGAGTTCATGGAACAAAAATGAACCTGCTTGGTAGTCTTTAAACTTTATATCTTAATGCCAAATGATAAAAAATGCTAAAGCTGAGAGACCAAATATTGCCCAAGTTTATGACATATGACTGTCTGGACACATCGTAATGAAAATTATGTCGACATATACATATTTGCATTTTCACTTCATGGTCATAACATATTTCAAGTTTGAAGTCAAGTTCAACCATCCAAGAAACATGAAAGTAGGCCTATTTTGCGTCATAAAAATCCCATGTAGCAAAAAGTCAAATCAAATTAAATCTAGACAATCAAACCACAAATAAAATTAACTATGTCAAGAGCTGATGGCCTGTTACATGATGTGTAGCTTAATCTTGTTTCCAACATCCTGCATACAGTGGCACTTGTATTGTCCCTATTGAGTTTCAGGTGTTTAAGGCGGCCATCTGGTTCAGCCTCATTCCTCACCTACTTTATGATGTACTCCACTTCTTCAGACAGCTCCCACACTGGTAGATCTGTTATGATTTCTAACAATGTACATGGCAGACTCCAAATGTCTGTTGACAAGGAGGCGCTTTGCCTGCCCAGGAGTACTTCTGGTGCTTGGTAAGCAGGTGTGCCAGGCTGTAAACTGTATCCAGTCAGAGTTGTCATATCAGTGTTCATGGTCTCCAATTTGCTAAGGCTATTTCACATAACTTAACAACATTTAAGTCATTTGCTATTAGAATATTTTCTGGTTTTATGTCCCTATGAATGATAACCGGTACTCGTGCATGCAAGTATGCAATGGCCTGTGAAATCTTCAATGAAACCTGCAACTTCCCTGACATATGTGTGATACTAGTTTCATCAATGATAAAGAGGCACTTGTCCAAAGCCATGATTATGAAACCAAGTATAATCGATCACGTTCTATGGCACAGACCATCATCAGAACAATATTTGGATGTCGCAGCTGACTATGAACCTGAAGTTCTCTTTAAACTATTGGTTAAGCAATCATCATGTGATTTACAACTACAAATGTATTTATTTCACTGCAACTTTGGTGCCAATTCAATTTCCTTCACAAACAATTCCGAATGCGATTTACCAATTTCCTTTCCCAAATTCAGATCACCCAATTTTACTCTTCGAACTGTATGTGTAAAGCTAACTACAGGTTCTTGACCTGAGATTTGCAAAAGACTTCCCCCTGTCTGTGTGGGCGCTAGTCTGTGTGATGTACTACTAAAATTAAAATGAAAAGTTATTTTTTAAATTGATTGAATATTTAAGAACAGATATATAGCATTTCATCAAATGTAAAATATTCATCATATATATTTTATGTTCGTGCTATGTCTAATAAAATAATGAATGAATCCTTTATATCTGTCTTATAAATAATATGACATCGGACGTAATGCAGATCAATGTTAAGTAACGTTTAAAGGTAGAACGCGACAATTTGCCAACTTTCGAGAAGCGTCTTGAAAATTGGCATGCACAAAATTGACCATATTTCTGATTGGATTTCGTTGATTTTTTTTTCAATAGTTTCAGCCAATTTTTGTACACACGACGTCAAAGTTGACTATTAAAGACCGTTTTTGAACATGACGACGTTGCGTATCCTTGGCAGCTGTTGCGGGTATTTCAACGCCATTTGCGCACAAAATATCTTAAGTCCTACAGCATTCGACGGAAATTACTTTTTCCTTTAAGCTGATATAAAATTTATCGTTTTACAATGAAAATTGTTTGATTAATGGAAAAAAATTTGTCAATTTTGTGTAAAATTTGACGTTCAGTTTAGCCGCATTTTTAGCTTTAAAATCCGCTTATTAAAAAATCCCTGAAATAAATTTTTGATTTTTTTTCTTTAAACGTCCTTTAAAATGTATACTTAGTCAACATAACTAAAAAAATTAGTGGGTCACCGACTCAATTTTTTCGGTACACGTGATTTTATTTCCCCCATCCCTTTGGATAAAAGTCACGCTATCACGGGGCGTTTGGTTTTTTGATGTTATTAAAACGATCGCCCTCTGTCAAAATCCCGTTTTTTACGGCATTTTACGCTATTATGACCACTGCAGAAAATATATGGATACAATAAAGTGTACGGAATTCCGTATACATTGTATTATGGATAGACAGGTAAAAATAAGTGAAATTTGATGTACGGGACCGTATATCATGCAATACGTATATAACTAATGTACCGTGATCAGTACACTCGTAATATGCGGGAACTTTGAATGAAGTCCGTATTTACTAAAGGCCCTGTCACACCAGACTGCGCTTTCACTGCGTTTGCATGGCGTTGTAAAATTTAACAAAGCGCCGCGAGATCGCAATAAAAAATGTTATATTTCTGTTGACATAAAGACTTCATGGAGTCTTCACGGCGTCCCCACGGCGATCATGGCGATGTTACGGAGCTTTCACGGCGTTTTAATTGACGATTGTCTTCGTTCGGATCGCGCTTCTACGACGTTCTTTGCGCTTTCACTGCGCATTTACGGCGCTCATACTGCGTTCTCGCGGCATTCACACTGCCCTGAAATCGTAAAGCTCTGTAAAAGCGCCGTGCACACGCAGTATAAGCGCGGTAAAGACGCCGCACAAACTCCGTACAAGCGCCGTGGATAACCACTGCGTTCATTCGGCGTTCCTTTTGCGCTTTCATGGCGCTCCTGTTGCGTTGTAGGAGATGCTACGGAGTTGCAACGGCGTCCTATCTGCGATCCCACTGCGCTCATTTTAGAACGCCGAGTGACGGCGTTTGTTTTGAACATGCTCAAAATGCGCGCCGTCGGTCGACGTTCTATGCGATGCCACAAAGATGCTACGGCGATGCTGCGGCAATATTTGCGATCTTACTGCGCTCACCTCGGCGTTCTGAAGTTTCACTGGACGCCGTGAGAACGCCGTCCTAGTGTGACAGGGGTTTAACATGCGTATTTTTTTTGAATTACACGGTCAGATATTACCAAAATATGATTTTTTTTATTCTTGTAAAAACAGATTTTGTATATAAAACAGAGAATAAGATGTACTTCAGAATTACCCACTTTCTATAAGAGGAAAGAAATAATAGTCTGATCTGACATTTGTCAGAAAAACATTAAAGAGTAAAACTTTGAGTAAAATGTAATATTTCTCGGTTTTATTAACATGTCAGTTGCATACTGATTAAATAGTTAGTGAAACATCGGCAGATCCTCTACAGTGCCCGTAGCATGTATAGACAACAAAAAACAATATATATTGAAATATCTCTATGTTTATAAAGACTTACAACGCAACACTCCTTTTTGTGCAGTATATAGCTCAGGGCCGCCGGTTCGCGTATATGTTGTGCTAAAATCCGCAGACGTGTATTTACAGCGTGTCATTATATTTCATGTTTAAAGTACTGTTTGTAAATTTTCCTGGTCAAAATAAATTCTACCATAAATTTGGCTATAAGGTGAATAATGAATATTTGCAGAGGCCGATTTGATAGTAATGTTTTAATACAGCGTTTATGGTAAATCCTCAATTAATCGTTATTTTTAACATTATGATATTCCAAAATGATAAGCAAAACGAGAGAATATGTATTACAGATGTTTATTTAATTGTAGAATCGAACGTGCTATATCTGTAATCCAACACCCACTGAGCTAACGTTTTAAGCATGACTGTTGCTTCACCCTAATATAATTGACTAAATTTCATTTATGAACCGTATATTTTAATTTGTCAATATTTCGCCAATTCTGTCAAATTGTTGCAATTCTTTTTTATATTACAAGTGAAATTCAAATGCTGGTTGTTAATAGGTGAAATAAAATACATATCACTCACAGTATATCACTCATAGTGTGGGTAATGCAAAATGTATAGATTTGCAGAATTTCTTGTAGACTACGTATTAATTTATGATTGAATTTCCGTAAATTTCTAAATTAACATAAAAATATATAGTTGCTTTTTGTTCCTTATGGCATATTTCTCGATTCAAGTTTATTAATTATATTGTATTACAATATCAAAAAGGAACACCGCAATGATAACTTTCAGCTGTATTTATTTTTGTTTGCGCAGCGTACGCGTTGCCGTTGAACGCCTGACGTCATTTTTTTTACACGCGTCTGTTTACAATTCCTTATGAAGTTATTAATCATGCTTAAAAACAAGAAAAAAATCGTTTGTTTTTCGTGCAATTTTAAAAATTTGCAATGGAACATCATTGTTGTTGTTTAAAATGTATTAGTAAAACTCTAGAACAATTC